ATGAACAATTGAACAGATGTTTGTAAACATGCTTTTTTCTTTCCATGTTAACCAATCTGAAATGGAAGTGTATATATTTAGATAAAAATTTTAGAAAACAAATGTTAATTTAAAGTTGCATTGAATTCTGGGAGATTTTAAAATACGCTGTATTCTGCTTTATTGCTTTTCCACACAGATACCAAAACTGTGTAAACAGCATTAGCCAAGCTGAATCTCCCATTCTTTTCTTAACCTATAAAGTATCTTTTTGCAATAATGATTTGCAGAATGGCTTTATTCCATTTGTTTCATTTAATATCACACAAAAAGCAGTTCAATCACTAGTAAAAGATAAAGTAATTAATCTCTGAATGATCTGCTATTTGAGAACCCCATTTTAATACTCGCCCAAGTACAAGCATCCATTCTTTTGTGCTGTTGGGTTTTTATTATTTCTTACCTAACATAAAGTTATTGTAGTACCTTAGAAGCCAAATAAGACAGATTCTCTATTTTAAATTTCAAAATTTAAATATACAAATATAATAAGTATATTGTCACTAAAAGTAATTAAAATGTGTGATATGAAATGCTGATCGTATAACTGAAGGTTATTGAGACCTTTTGTGTTCAGGCCCCAGAGCTGAATGCCAGTATGATTCCTTTCCTCCTAACATACCTTTATGTATCTGTTTGAACCAATGCTTACAGATAAATAAATGATAGATTTCATGGTGAACCTTTCTTTAAAGAGAAAACTGTACTAGTACTTATAGATACTTACTCCTTCCATAACCTATAGAACACTTTGTTATCACCACTATGGGCTTTCCAGCTGTAGTTTAGCAGGTGGAAAATAGACAGTGAATGCAATTTCCATGATGCAGTGTGAACAAGACAATGCACATTGGTGCAGAGACATTAAGTGCTAACAGAAGTCAAACCACACAAGTCATCCCTTTCCTGAGGAGTCTGTAATCCAGAGAAGGCTACTACTAATTGACTTTTTTGGGTTTTGCAAATGTGCACATAAAATGTGATTACTTCTCTGTAAGTTTATTCACATAGGTGAATAATTAAGAAATCTCAAAGTGAAATATTTTCTCATTCTGAGGATGCATTTATGTGAAAGTGCCTGACTGGGTTCAGCATTTGTTATTGTTAAGTATGAGTGTTTTTTTTGTTAGCTAAAATGGGGTTATCAGTTTGAAACTTTATGAACCTGACACCTTCCAGTATCCTGCCCAGTTCTAGAACAGACCTGTCATGGAGTGCCAAGAAGTCTACGTGTAGTGAGTTCTACGTAGTATGTGTTGGACAAATGTAAGTAAGCAACAGAACTATCTAGATTTGCCCAAACTAGTATAGCCCACCAGAATGACAAATACTATACCTTTTTAATAGAGTAACTATTTGCTCTCCCAATCCCTACCCTCTCTACAGATTTAATATTCACATTGTATGTTGCTGGTCATTTTAGAACTGACCTACATGAAGGGGAGCACTTTTTCATGTCATCTATTATTGTAACATGTAAAATGAACTCTCAGTCAGTCTCTGGCACACATTCAAAAGTTTAAATGCTTTACTATTTGCTAATTAACTAGCAAGAATGACCTTGAAATCAGACACTACTCCTTCCTGCACTCTGGGGCGTCATCTGAGCTGTTTGGGGGCATCCCAGCAAAGACTAACAGGCAGACGAGCAGTAGCTCCTTGCCAGACTTAGAGACCATGGACAACCTGAAAATAATGAGGTACCTGGCACTGTCTGCTGATCATGGATCAGCAAATGTGCTCAAGACAAGATAACCTCCATGACTGAGAATAGGCAATAGAAGACGTGGTACCTTTCTTCAACCTTATGTTCTCAGTGCTAAGAGGAATCAAGGAAATGTAGAGACTATGTTACTTTACAGCAGTACTTGTCAATACAGAGCAAAGCCGTTCCCAAAAATAGAAGAACAGAAACAGTGACAGACTGTGCCATAATAACTTTCAAGGGCTTATAGCAGCTGGACATTTAGTTGATAACCCCTACTGCTTCAAGAAAAAAATGTTGTGATAAACAGTTATCACTGACAGGGAAGAGGTCTGTCTATTTGGAAATGTTTTTGGAAATCTGCAATAATGTCCACAAAATTCACCTCTGTTGCACTTGTTTTGGGATTTTTTACCCCAAAAAAGGTAGACAGATCTGAGGGCAATGTCAGGTCTTGTGCCTGGGAAGCAGTGCTGTTCTGGTGGTTTTCTGCAAGGCACAACAAATAGGGGCATGTTGTGGGTTTTTTTTCTTTCTTTCTGTCTCTTCCCTAGTAGTCTTTCCCCTTCACTTTGGACCCCTGTTTCACATTTCTCCATCAGCTGCTGGCTTTGGATATTTCACAGAAGGTCCTGTTCCTTGAATTATCTGGGAAGAAAATTCTGCTCACTCTCTGCATTTCTCAGCCAGAAATTTCAAAATGCTTTTGAAAAGTGTCTGTGAAAGGTTTTAACCACCCTGCTAAACCCTTGAGTGCTGCTTTTAAAGACTATCCATTATGTGGAGGAGGCTTCTGACAATGGCCTGGGAACATGAGACCTGAGCCTGCTTCAGCAGCTGGCTTTCCTTCCTGGCAAAGCGACAGGCTGTCATGGTGTTGCTGGCTGAGCGCGGCTCACAGCCACCTCATCCCTCTGTGGCAGGGGCACTCAGAAGTCCACCAAAAAATAGCAGGGTTTTGCTGGAAAATGCTGATTAATCAAAACTGAGCTCTTTCATGGGAAAACATCTCATTTGACAAACTTCCAAAGAAACAGAAGAAAAATTGCACTAGAAGTATCCTTCTTTCTTGTCAGTGTGCCTAATACTTGCTAGGTGACCAAAACTCCTAAGACTTGTTTCTTCAATGTCTAGGGCTCCATCAGATCATCTGCTAGGGCTGCTGGCTAGCCAGCAACCTAGAGGACTGTGCTCCTGGGCTCAGTTTCATTAATTTTGTAGTAGTATAAACATTTATTTAAAAAAAATCAGACTTCTACCATTGGAAATGTCAACATTTTGACTTTTGAACCCGAAATAAAAGAATTTCCAGCATAAAAGGAATTTCACTTTATGTTTGTCTTTGCTAACCTTTCCATACTTCTTAGGAAGGAAGTACTCAAGGAGACATTCACAAACCCTGTGATACTGTTGTTTCACTTCTGTTGCTAATGGTTAAGTAGGTTAGTCAAAACTAGCTGTATGTGCTAGAGACTTCCCAAATTCTACCTAAATTCTCAAAAGCAGTCTCCAATTAAAATGTGGACTCCCTGCAGTTGACTATCAGTCTATTATGTTGTCCATTCAGCCAATTTTTATCCTCAGACTATAAAGTTATAGGTTATATGTACTATAGCTGATACAGTAAAATCAAGTGCTTCAGTAAAATCAACTGTTACCAACATTCTGTGATCACATACAACCATGTCAAGAAAAATGAAAGCAAAGGGCAAAGGTGTGACTTTAAGTTATCAGTATACAATGTTCTGATATGTTCAGTGCTACCTCTTATGAAAAGACAACTACAGATCAATGGTTCTGTGGAGAAAATGTACCTTTGGGTAATGCACATATTAAAATTATCAGTATCTAAACAGCAAATTAATATTGAATTGCATTTTTGTTATAAACTGAAAAGGTAACCATAGGAATCAAATTAACCCAATCACACAACAGCATTTTTTCATTTTCTATTCACATTTATTTTTCAAAGGTAATGCTGCAATACATGTAACCTGTAGTGCAGTGTATTAGAAACGGAAAAAATAAAACCCAAATAACTTCATCAAAATGGCAAAGCCTAGGTTCTGCAAGTGTTAGAGAAGGAAAGTGATCATACATAGGTGAAACCATTATGGGACATAGATTTTGTATGGTTTCTCCTCATATTTTAGTTGTCAGGTGTGCTACGAATAAAAACAGGATCGAAGGAAAGCTTTTGTACTGTGCATATCTGTATAGCAAATTTGCCTGGCATATTTTTTGCAGTATGTTTTCTTCGGAGGTGATACTATGTGAACGTATTCTTTTTTCTTCTATGTTATCCTTCAAAAATTCACTGACTGTGGATAGAACACCTCTTTTAAACCTTTGCTTTGATGTTTATGCGAGCTTCTAAAGCATCATTCTTTGCTTCAATAGGACTCTGTGCCATAGTTCTAATTACTAGATTTTGCATGTCTACCACATCATCGGGCATCACTGGGACATAGCTCAGGTGAGGGCCAAGGGCAAGTGATGGACATTGAACATAGGTCTGGAGTCAACAGCGCTGATTGCAGCACTTTCTCAGCTCCCTCCTTCAAGGCCACAGCATGGCTTCATATCTAAGCTGACTCTGCGCCCAGACAGCCAGCCCCAGGGGAGTTGTACTCGGGGTCCTGGCAATGCCTGCACTTGCATTTGGCAATAGCTAGAGGAAAAATGTCAGCGCTTCACTCTTTGGGGCATCTTGAAAACTGATAACACTGGTGTTACTGTTCTTATCTTAGTACTGACTACTATATTTATTTATCCCACAGGAAAGTATCTTTCTTGTGAGTTTCACTGAACTTGTGCTAATATAATCTTCCCACTGGAAGCATCAGGGCAATTTATATTATTAATAAAGGGAAGTAGTCATCTTTTCCTTTCTTAATTTTTCTGCTTATCTTTATGGGATGCATCATTCAGATGAGTATTTTTAATGGTTACAGATTCTTTTGAGAAATACTTTTTGATGTATGCCAAATATGAACACGGACCTAGTAGTGATCTTTGAGCCTGAAAGCAAGCTCAGAAAGCAAGTGGTTAAAAATGCTGACGAAGTAACATATGAATCAATGAGCTTGCAAGCAACTGAATTGATGTTTGTGATAGTTTACACTAGGAATACCAGCTAATACATGGAATATGTGATTTAACTGTTTATTGGCTATTCCTGTGTTAAAGGAGTTCCTACCTTCCTCTGATGCCCGTGATGCTGCACAACTTTTCAGATCCTTTCTTTTCCTCTCAGTACTCCCAGCTATAACTATGCACCAAACATGGATAAGCACTGGATCATGCAGTACACGGGGCCCATGCTGCCTATACACATGGAGTTTACAAACGTCTTGCAGCGCAAAAGACTTCA